CAGCTGCCATTACCTATTCTACATCCTAAGCTAACTGTTTATTTGCAAGAAATAGACCAATTAGCGACTTTGAAGATATCACTAAATTCCTACCTGTGAAATGTATATAAAAATCTTGATATTCTGCTGTGAAGTCAACAGTTTGAGTCTGAGCTTATCAAGAGCATAACGCTTATAGCAAAAGTTAAAAATTTTCGAAGCATTTTACAACTGCAATTACTACGAATATTAAAAATTAATAACATGTTTTTAAATTCTACAATGAAAACTACTGAAGAATTGTCTTACTCTGAATTAGTCGCCAATATGTCATCTTTTAATAGCGCCGATTTCAGTATGTACATTAATTCTTCTGAGGCAATCGATAACAAGAAACGTCTGCGCACTGAAAAACGTGAATCAATACCCATAACCCTGGAAGCTGCAAAGAAATGTGAAGAAATCGATGACGATAATGATGATGATAATGAATTTATATCCACCTCGGATACAAGTAGTTCAAAGGAATGCACATTGAACACAACTGAAAGTTTAAACAATCTTTTGGAATATTTCGATGAAGAGTTGCTATTCAACCCTAATACAACTACAACTGCCAATACTACAATAACCGATAAAGTAGCTACTCTCATTGCGAAATTTAGATGTAAAACCGTACAAGTTTCGCTAATAGGCGCCAATCAGTAGTTCGTTTAAATATAAAGGAGCTAAGAAGAAGATATGAAACTAATAATGCAGATAAATTAAATAAAAGCTCTACACAACAGAAGTCGTCAAGATCGAGAGTTAAACAAATAGTGCAAATGTTTAATGCAAAAATGGTACAAATCATTCGGCGTAATGGAAACGAAACCCCATATACTACTCTACATAATCAACTTTCACCAGAGACGAAGACAACAACGGAAAACATAAATAAGTTCGTGCAACAAGTCTCAGCACCAACATCACATACAGAATTTATAACCAATAATACAAGTACAACTATAATCCCACAACAGCCACAGAAAAGATTCACAAATACTACTTGCTTTGTGACGGAAGAAATCTTTAATCAGCTTTCTGTAAAGGATAAAGCATCGCATTTTAATAAATTTATAGACAATTCAAAATTCATTAAACAAGTAGGACCTCAATTAACTAATGAGCAACATTTCGTAAAAGATTTGACGGAAGAGTTGGAAGCACTCTGTAGTTTTCCCGAAGCCACCATTAATCCAGTGAAAAATTCATCGAAAAAACTAACCACAGATGATATGAAGGAAGTTCCTGAAAGCGCAAACATCAATGAAAAATTACATAACAAACGAGATGTTATACCTTTGGATATAATTGAAGCAACACAAAAGCGTTCAAGTAATTCTATGTTATCCGATGATCCTAACAAAATACGCCTACAGCAAGTACACTCTAATTCACTGAGGGCCATCACACCAATAGACAATATCAACAAGTCAATTATAACGGTATTTGATCATGAAGTTACTATCAGTTCTTTAGATGACGATGCACAAAAGTCAGCAGTAAATAAATTGCTGGAAGAGGCGCTAGCAGACTTGACAACAATTGATGTTAAAGAGTCAACTGAACTTGTTTTACAAACACCTAAGAAAACTCTGAGAAAGAAGAAACGCCCAGCACCGCCAATACCGATTTCAAATAAAGTACTCAATTCAAGTGAATGCTCATCACAATTGCAAGAACCATGTGACGAACCAAAACAGAATATTCTAAATCCGATTGAAGACTTCAAATTTGCAGTGCCAATCAAACCACCAC